AGGTGGACCATCCTCAGCCCTTGGATCATGTTTTATCTTATATGTAGAGGCTTTGAAGTGTAGAAATGCAAAGGAAATGCATAGGAAATGAAATTGGAGAAGCATTGCAAGTGGCTTGGCAAGTTGCAAATGCAACTTGCATTAAAATATTCAAAATTACAAAAAGGTGAAAAGCGAAAATCTGCAACAAACAGCCCCCTATTTGCCTAGCCACTCTAATCACCATGATTTCATCCATACAACTTGACTAATTCATCAGTTGAGGGAGAGCTTTGAACCTTGCAGTTGTACCAAACCCCAAGCCAAGGGTTTCCTTTTTCAAAATCCCTCCAAAAGTGCAAAAAACCAAATTTGTCCTCATCCCTCATTTCCCTATAAATAGAGGCTCCCTCTATGTCATTTACACACAATAGCTATCCTAAAACCTCACAAACTGATAGCTCTCTCCTTTCTCTCTTTTTGCTTAAAAGTGTAAATTCACCAAAACATCATTTTAACCACTTTGCACTTTCCACACCAGCTCTGGTTCTAAACATCCCAAAACTTCAAAAACCATATACACAACCTTAAAATAACCCTCTGAAGTTGTTCTCACCATTGATTTCCTCAAAAAAACCTTTGAATCAAAAAGTCAACTTTCACACCAAGCTACTTTGACCATTATGCTCAAAATCTGCCAAATGCTTGTCTAAACCTGTTCTTGCTGTTTTAATCATCCATACACCTCATATACATCATATTGCAACTGTCCAAGGCATTGAAAACCAATGGTGAAGCTCATTTCTCCAACTGTCCTAAGGTTTGCATATTGCCTCAAGAGGAAGCAAACTTCAACATTGTGCAAAAAAAAAACAAGGTCTCTGGATTTCTTTGTGTTCTAACTTGCTCAACATAGTCTACAAGAGGTATGTAGTCTATGAAATTTGCACTTTACATCATATTTACATGTTTCGCATTTTTAAGGTGTTGTATTGAAAAGCATGTACCATGAGCATTACCAATTTCCATGACAGGGTGGGTTTTGATTGATACTAGGACATATGATCTTTAGTTTGCACATCTGAAGTTTGTGTGTGGTGTTAATATAAGCATACCAATCTGTTTTGGCATTGACAATTTATGTTTCTTTGCTATTTTTCAATATGCTACCATCACCATGCTACTTTTTGAACCAAAGGACATATGTCTAGATTTTGAGCTCTGCACTAATTGTTGTTGCATTTAAGAGGTGTGTATGCTGTTGTGATGGTTCAAAATTCATTTGTTGCAATTTCACCCACTGCCTTCATTAAGACAGTTTTCACACTACCACCAAGTTCACCAATTTCTGTTTTAGGCATAAAGTGCTAAGTTCTTGATTTCAATGTCATCCATCGTGATGTCTATGGTATGTGTATGCTTCTGCTTTGGTTTGAAACTATTCCCATGTGAATTTCACCTGCTGCACTTGCATCCTTCCTCAAAACTGTTTTCGCATATCATTCAAAATGTCAAATCTTGTTCTAATTGAAATATGTCTGTTTTGTGAGCTTGACCGCATTCATTTTCATGTATATGGTATGTGTGCATCATTGGTTAGCATGAATCTCATTCATTTTGAAAAAACACCTGCTGCACTTTCAAAACAGCTTTTGCATAAACATCAAACATGTCAAATTCTGCTTTGCTCAGTTTATGCCAAATTGTGAATCGTAGAAACATCAATAAGCTTGTTTATAACTTGTGTGAAATGAGTGTTTGCTGTGAATATGCTCAGAATTTTCTTTGAACTCCCTTATGCATTTCAACATGCCAAATTGCAATGGATGAACCATTTTCATTACAGCTTGTTTTGTAACTGATCCATGTGCCTAGAATCACTTGTTAACATGTATATAGTTTGTGTGTTGTGTTTGATTGGTCTGAATATGCATAGAACCTGTTTTGATCTTCAACTTGCATCTCAATATGTCATTTTGCATCTAATAGGTCATTCTCATTCCAACTGTTTTGTGACTGATCCATGTATTTGAAATCATCCATCAACATGTTTAAACTTTGTGTGCACAACTTGATTGATCTACTTATACTCCAAGCCTGTTTTGAACACCATCATGCATTTCACTCATGCCATGTTGCCACCACTTTAACACCCAATCTCTGTCTTGTATGTTGATATCATGTTTAAAAACTGTATGAAAATGATTTTTGTCACTTTTTACACTAAACTTCCACCAATGGAAGTTACTTTAAAAACTGTATGAAAATGATTTTTGTCACTTTTTACACTAAACTTCCACCAGTGGAAGTTACCTTTAAAATCTGCCTGAAAATACTTTTTGGCAGTTTTTACACTGAACTTCCACCAGTGGAAGTTACCTTTAAAATCTGCCTGAAAATACTTTTTGGCAGTTTTTACACTGAACTTCCACCAGTGGAAGTTACCTTTAAAATCTGCCTGAAAATACTTTTTGGCAGTTTTTACACTGAACTTCCACCAGTGGAAATTACCTTTAAAATCTGCCTGAAAATACTTTTGGTCAATTTTCGCCTTATGCTTTGTGTCCTGAGTTCGAGCCTCAGCGAGGCCACTTTTTTTGCTTCAATTTTATTATTTATTATGTTTTATCATTTGATTTACACGCGCACATGTGTGGTTGAATTGGTAAAGGATGTTGTTTATGGTTCAAAGGTGGTGTGTTCAACACTTCAAGTGCATCTCTTTATTTTCAATTACTTGTTTATTTTCATGTTTCTTCATAAATTCAAAAAAATCATAACTTGTTCAATTTTAATCTTTTTTTAGTGATTCTTTTTGCTAAATTCTTCTGTTAATATATATTTTCACATAATGTATGATTTGAAATTTTATCCCTTTGATCCTAGCCTCAGGATCCGAGCCGCCGTGCTCACCTTTTATCGTCCCGCCGTGGACACCCCTTTAACCCTTTATCTTAGCCTTAGGATTCGAGTCGTCGTGCTCGCTTTTACCGTCTCGCCGCAGACACCCTTTATCACGACAATCTCAAATTTAGAATAGGAGTCGCCGCACTCCCTGTATGTACTTCCTTATGAATACTTACATCCCTTTGAAACCTTGACCACAGTCAAGAGTTCTTCATCCTTAGCAAGGGGAACTACAATTGCTCTGATTCCATTCCCGTCAGGATACGTAGGCACGAGATGCGATGTCTTCGCGAGAAAACCTTGTACATACTTTTACTTTAGATTTTTACCTTAGCACTTTTTCCCTTTAGCAAACATAAATATTAGCAAGAGGTTCTTGTAGAGTACTACAGATGCTTAGGATGTTAACACCTTCCCTAGGTATAACCATCCTCCGAACCTTTAGATCTCTCTTTGCTCAGCTTTAGGCCTTGCCTTTTGCTTTGCATTTAAGTTTTTCTTTCTTTAAACCTTTCCTTTTTGGATAAATTAAAGTCCGATTGTAAATGAATTAAGATTCAAGTTAATCAATAGCTTGGTATCCTGATTTCACCGCAACAGGCTATAGTGATTTCATATTCGGTTACAGAACTAGACAACATATCTCTCTGCGTATTATTCAATTGCCTGCCTGTTTTCATTGCCGCTGTATCGATGACGTCAAGTTCATTCAATTCCGTACACATCAGACTACTGTAGAAAGTTATGACTTTGTTTTCCATCCCTTTCTGATCTGTAACAAAGGTACCATCACCTCTTTGAAGTCTTGTCATATTTTTGAGTTGTTGTTGAATCTTTATGGAGGCGTGGAAGTATTTGCTGTTCCCGTCACTTAATCGTAGCCAGTCAATTTGGCTCGTTGTCTCACCATGCTATCATCCAATTCCTGCAAGTTAAGAAGATTTTCAAAACATCCTTTAACCATATTAATATTTTCTCTATTCAGTCGATCCGTCATTAAATCTGCTTGCCCTGTGTTCAATTCTTCTCTAGCTTGTGCTATTTTCCTGTGAATGTCAGCCAATGGTTTACTCAACTTCCTGATGTGGGGTTGTAGCCTTTGCAGTTTCTTCCACACAACAAACATTGGTATTCCTTCTAAAGGCTCATTCCAATTGTTGCTTACAACTTCCTGGAATTTATTCAAGTCAACGCAACAGTTTATGAATTTGAATCTTACTAGGCTGCTGGACTTCAGTATTATCGTCTAACACAAGCATGGCATGATCAAATATGCTTGGGTTCATATTTGTTAAAGTTGTATCTCCATTTTGTTGCAACCACTCTACATTGCAAAGAACATGATCAATTCTTGAGTAAATCGCATTGTCTCCCTGTTTATTCGACCATGTGAAATAATATCCAATGCTTTCTTTTGCATAGAGTCCCATTTTACTCATCATTTCAATCAAGTCTATGTATTCATGTTCTGTAACGTCATTACCGCCAATTCTGTCTTCAGTTTTCAGAACATTGTTATAATCACCAATTAGGATCCACGGTCCAGTTTGTTATGTAGAAATCTTCTGTATATCTCGCCAGAGTTCCTTCCTGCGATGCAATTGGTTTTGTGCGTAAATGGATGTCATCCAACACAGAAAGTTACCATGTACATCCTTTACCTGACAATGTATCAATTGATCTGTGCTCTCCATATATTCCACTTGTCTTCTATTATCATCCCAATGGATCCATATTCTGCCATTATCATGGTTTGAATAGTTATCTGTATAGTTACCTTTTAACTTCAGTTTTTGTCAAATACACATTGCATTCTTCGCCATCACTCTTGTCTCGATTAAAACAGAAATTGCAAGGGTTAGTTTTTGGAGACGAGAGCTAATCTCCCTAACTTTGCCTGCTTTATTTAGCCCTCTAATGTTCCAAGAGACGATCATGGGACATCTTCGAGGAACACCGAGGCTGAACCATCCCCGAGTGCTGCATAAAAATTCTCGTAGTTCTTCATTGGATTTTTAGTCTTTGGACTTCTAGCAGTATCAGTACCTTTGGCTTTGACATTGTCTTTTTTCCTAATCTCTGTCCATGGCATACCTTCATCTTCACGTGTGTGTTTACTGGTTTTCGTTTGCACGATTGCCCCGGCTTTTGGATGTTCCTGTACTGCTGGTTTTTTGTGTAGGTGTCTTCAAGGTTTCATCTTCATTGGAAGCTATCTTATCATTTTGATTCTTCTTCTGTTTGGGAATCCACTGCTTTAATGGATTTTTTGGTTGCTTCTCCTCACATTTTTCCCCGATACGCTGACATTTAGTGCAGTATGGAGGCCGCCACTCATATTCTACCTGTTGTTGCATCTTCTCCCCTTTTTCATCTGTTATAGCTATCTCAGTAATGACTGCTTGTGTGATATCGATTTCTACTAGGACTCTAGCATATGAGATTCGATATCTGTTCGCGGTGCATTCATCAGTCATCAATGGGGTTCGCAACACACTCGCTATTTTTGCCCGATTTTTTGCTCCCCATAGGTGCAGTGGCAATTGAGGCAGTTTAATCCAAATAGGGATAGTACGCATCATATCATTCTTCAAGTTGAAATTTGGTTTCCATTCAGCTAACAACATCAGCATGTTCCGTATGGTGTACGGACCTTTCATGAGCACATCATCCATCTCCTTGTGTGAATGAAACCGCAACACAAAATACCCTTCATTATTGTAGTACATTTCAAAAGTGATCTTACTTAATTTTTTAATCTATTTGGAGAAATTGGATTCCAATATTTTCAAAAGTTTGTAATGTACAACAACTAAGTGAATAATAAAATTATAAATGTTTTGAAAGGTTAAACAAAAAATTCTACATCTTATTTGGATTTTGAACATTTCAACCAATTCTCGTATATAAGAGATTTTGCGCAGAATTTTTTTTACATTTGTTAGACACGGATCGATACACCATTTAAGGAGGAGGTTTCTTTCTGCAACCCCAAATTTTACTTGACTTTAACTTTTGAATCTATTTGAAAAAATTAGATTTCAACTTTCTCGAGAGTTTGTATAACAACTAAATTAGTGAATAATAAAATTATAAATGTTTTGAACAGGGTAAAGCTCAAATAAAAAACTCCACATCTTATTTGAATCTCGAACATTTCAACCAACTCTAATATATAAGAGATTTTACGCGGAAATTTTTTCACATTTGTTAGACAAGGATAGATACACCATTTAAAAAGGAGGTTTCTTTCTGCAACCCCCAAATTTTACTTACTTTAATTTTTGAATCTATTTGGAAAAGTTGGATTTCAATTTTCTCAAAAGTTTGTATAACAACTAAATTAGTGAATAATAAAATTATAAATGTTTTGAGTTGATTAAAGGTCAAACAAAAACTTCACATCTTATTTAGATCTCGAACATTTCAACGAAATCTCATATATAAGAGATTTCACGCGAAAAAAATTTCACATTTCTTAGGCATGGATCGATACACCCCTATTTCAATAATACCCGTATTACTTTTGTGAAAATTGAAGCTAAAATCCTGACAAAATATCCGGTAGAACAAACTAAAAAATCTGGAACCTAACAAAAAAATCTGATAGTATTTTAAAATATCCAGTTAACCGGGTTTTTAAAAATCTTCGGAATTTTGGTTAGTATTGTTTTTTTTAAACATCCGGAAGTTACTGGATATTTCATCCATGAGTGAAAAATCTCGTAGTTATAAAAAAAAGTGAAAATTGAATGGTTGTGATTTTGCCAACACTTTTGTACGGTTGAGATTACATTGACCATTTTATGTTGTTCAAAATGAATTCAAAGTTGTATAAATATGGGTCATTTGTTGTCGAGAAAAACATATAAGAATTTCTCTTCCTCAATTCTTGATTAAGGAAGAATTGCACTTCAATGGAGTGGAACCTTCCATAGAGTTTCGGCTTCCGAAGGACACCGTCTTGATCCATATTGAATGATTTGTTGCCCGACACTGATAATCAAAAATTGAGAAAAATCGAGTTTTGTGAAGATTGAATTGATACTGATGGAAGGGTGAAATACAACCTTATTGAGTTGAAGACCGATGAAGATTTAAAAGCTATGTGGAGATCATATCACTGTAAGCTAACTAAGGAATCAATCGAGTTTGATGCGACAATTTCTAGATTTATCGACGACATAATCAAGATGTTGAAATGTTTAGAATCACCTGGTAGTGTTTATGTTTTCTTAAGTTATGTAATCGCCTGTCTAAGTTATGTAACTGTTTGTCAAATGTTAAGTTATGTTCATTATGCATCAATGGAAGTGGCAAAATATTATCTAATAAATAGTTGTGCAAATGTCTGAGTAATACTACATATAATATACAAGTAGTACATAAAAAAAAGTCTAAATAGGGCCCCCACGGGCTATTTGTGCGGCCTACGCTTCCAAACTATAAACCTCTCCTCTGGGTTCACCAAACCCATGAGGTTATCCATAATAATTATTATCATTTGTAGCTTCCGAGTGTGATCTGCATAATGTAGAGGTGGTGGAGGCAACAATATGTCAGTAGAAGGTACCCCAACATCAACATGAAAAGATCTAGCATGCGCAGATCCAACATGAGAATGTTCAACATCATCTTCGTGCTTCCCAGGTGGGATGATATGATGATATGATACCATAAAGTACCACTCTAAATACCCATTTGCACACTTTGCAGGGAACTGAACCGTCATTGCACACTACTAAATATAATTCATTTAATGATGAAGCTTTCACCTCAATCAAAGAAATATGAGGTCAAATAACCTGAAACATGTTATTTTATTTTTTAAAAAAGTTTCATCTTAATTTTGTAGAAAACCGACATGTTATAGAAATTAAGGGTTGAGTTTCGATTCCTAGCTATTGCAAATTTATGCTTTATTTAGAACCAAAATTGCGCCTTTATTTTGTAAATCATCGTATACCTCGTTTGTTTAGTAAACCAACATTATAAGTTGATTATTATTATAAATTAATAAATTAAATGCAGCTTTTACCTCGGTTAATTCCCTCGGTTTTTTTGAAAATTAAGATGTTAACTCTAATTATTATTTTATTCTTTCATCGAAAGATTTTTCATTCATTTTCTTTTTACTCCCTAGAATTTTTCTTTGACTGAACAAACTAAAACACAATTCTCCCCACCTAACAAACTGAAACGCCATCATCTCCAAGGAGGAGAAGGAAGGAAACTCGAATCTTAAATCAACACTTTTCTTCACGTTTTTGGCATGTAGAACTCTCTCATGTGAATGTTGTTGTTGTTGTTGTTGTTGTAGTCATTGTTATTGTTCTTTTTGTCGTCGTCGTTGTTATTCTTCTTATTGTTGTTGTTTTTGTTGTTGTTATTGTCATGGATTTTTAGACTTATTTTATAATGTACAGTCTTGTTTTTCAAGTATTTTTATTTGTTGTAGTTTATTGTTATTATTGTATTATTTTGGAATGTTAATTTCTATGTTACTTTAAGAAGCTGTGTAAATTAAGTAAAGAGTATAAGAATGGATTGATTCAATTTCTTGAGTTTGCGGGAAAAAACTTCCCTGACGATAATGAGATTTTGTGTGTCCTTGTAAAATCAGTCGAAATACGCAAAAACATCAAAGTGTTGTTATATTCAATCATTGTGGTTATGATGAAATTATTTAAAATTACACAGAATAAGTATGCATGGTGAAGTGACAAAAAACACATGTGTCACATAGAGTTAAAGATTATGAATTTATGAATGATACTCTAGAAGATATGATTCATAATATTGTAGTAGATGCTTTTAATAAAGCCCATGTGGTAGATACTTTGAAAGTTGACATGGAAGAGTTGTTATATTCGAGATGCAAAAAATTTACAAGATTTTCAGTTGTATTAAAACTATTTAATCTTAAGGTAAAATGTGAGTGGATGGATAAAAGTTTCACCGAAAAGTATTTTTTTGCAGAAAATACGTGTCCCACTGGGCGTGTCAATTTATTTGCGGGTTTCTTTAGGGAATAAACACAAATTTGAAAGTCTTCGAGATTAACTCAAAAAATCTCAAGAATATCTTTGTGTAAATACGTTTACAAGAAAGTATGTATATGATATAATTACGAATGTCTGGGTGCTGACAATGTAAAAGTAAACTGTTATGAATCGGATACCTTGAAACAAAGTATAAACGAGTTTCTTAATGATCAAGAAACACACAAGGGTTAGGGTTAACAAAGAAGATAAGGTAAAACAACAAGGAACAACAAGGATTGGTTATAAACTGCTATTATTTCCTTTCTCTGAGAAACAAGATTACAAGTATACAAGAATAACAAAATAACCTCTCTCACTTAAAATTAGGATTTTATCTTCCTATTTTTCCTTATGCCAAGATTTAGAAACTAATATCCTATTTATAAAAAAAAATAGCACAATAACCTGATGGGCATTTTAACAACTACCCATTATAAGCTAACTTAGGGTACAAGCTAACTTAAACAAGTGGACTTACAAGCAAGGCCCAATTAAAGATGCTAACAACCCTAGCAATATTGACTAATGCATGTTAGAACAAACTTCGACTACAACACGCATTACTCCGACAACAGCATGCGAATATACTTCGACCTCATGCTTAATTTTTGTCAAACCAGAAGCTACCCTTCGACCATACTAGAGTTCGATCCAATATCTCATAAATCTCCACCTTGGATCTAACTATATAAGATCAAGGAACTAGCTTTCTTCATGTAGCTTTATCAACTGCATACAGTGGAAAAACTTGCAACTGGGCAACGTCTTGGTGATCATATCAGCAGTATTATGATCAGTCGAAATCTTCAGCACTTGGACTTCACCACGCTCGATTACCCCTCTGATGAAATGCAGCCTCACATCAATGTGCTTGGTTCGCTCATGATAGGCTGAATTCTTCGACAAGTGTATTTCACTTTGACTATCACATTTAATAGTGATAACTCGACCTTGAAGTTTTAGCTCCTTTGCAAAACCTTCAAGCCACAATGCTTCCTTCATAGGTTCAGTTAGGGAAATATACTCGCTTCAGTGATTGATAAGGAAACGACCTTCTGAAGTGTTGCTTTATAACTGATTGATGTCCCAAACATAGTGAACACATATCCAAAAATATATTTTCTAGAATCTATACAACCTGCATAATCAGAGTCGACATATCCTTCGATTGCTACTTTACTATCTTCACCCAAGGCTCCACCATAAATTAGGAATCTATTCAGAGACCCATTTATGTACCTTAGAATCCCTTTCAATGCTTGCTAGTGAGCCTTTCTAGGATTCGCCAAGTACCTGCTTATAAGACTTACTGCATATGTTATGTCGGGTCTAGTACAAACCATAACATACATCAAAGAACCTATTATGTTAGCATATGGAATGCTATTCATATAAGTTCTTTCAACATTAGTGTTGGGACAGTGATCTGTACTCAGCTTGAATTGAGGGTTTGTTGGAGTCACAACAGGTTTGAATTCGACATACCATACTTTTCGAGAATCTTCCGCAGGTATGCCTCTTGATATAAGCATAATCTCGACTGCTTTCTATCCCAAGAATCCTGGACGCAAATCCCAGATCCTTCATGTCGAACTCCTTTTTGAGTTCAGCCTTCACCCTCATTAACTCTT